CATAAATGGCTGTTATGTTAAATAAAGTTGACTAAATATAGCAACTATATCAAGTACCTGCACGCCATTGTTGTTGTCTCGTCTCCCCTCAGATGCGCTGCAATGGCGATCCTGCGCGCAATTCTCAAAACGCCCACAAGATGGCGGCGTTTATCGGTGAATCCGATATTACAAAACCGATATCCGATTATGGTAAAATGCTTAAATATCGCGAAAAATATCGGTAAATCGATATATCGGTCGATCTCTATACTTCAGTTTGGGAGAAGTTTTATAGTGAATCAAAAGATATTCTAAAAACACAATTGTTCATCCCTTCCTTCCTGCAGATATCACATTGCAGTGGTTGATCCAGCATTCAAAGTCTCGGAGAAGTTGAGAACAGACCCCGTCCTATACCTGTGAGTCCAGTCCTGCCCTCTTTCCAGCTCCCAGCTCAGCCCAGCGCTCTTCCTGTGACCAGTGACGCAGTCCCTCTCAGCCGCATCTGTCTGTCCAGTAGCTGCCCGTCTCATTCATTCTCTATTACACACGGACTGTCAGTAAAGCATCTTCACCAGTGGGCCTCAGACTCCACTCAAATCATAATCGCTTTTTTTTTATTTTATCTAAACATCTTGTTTTGACCATTTACAAAGTGATGTGCTTTAAATCAGTTTCAGGGTTAGTCTCCTTTTCCTTTATTGTTATTGTTGGGGTTTTTCTTTTGGTCTGATTTTGTTGTGGCCAAAGCTTGATTCCTCGTGTGATAATCTCTGTGCCGCCTTTAAACACTATACAGGATGGTGTCTTCTCTCCTTCATGTGACTATCCACACATAAAAAAAATCAATGGATCTGTTGCTGACTTTGTATATAAGCAAATGTACAACTTTTTGTTTATTTTGCCGAGTGCTCTTATTTGTGTCTCTTGCATTATTTTGTGATTGCTCAATAAATTGTTTTTTTAGGGTGACTGTCAGCCTGTGCATTTTGTACCATTACATTTGACAGTCGAAAGAGTTGTTTGGCTGAAGTTCTAAGGTGGTGTAATCCGCATTTGTTCCATTTACAGATAAAATGCAATGCAAAACATGCACACACATTTTTTTACTCGCTTCACTTTCCCCCACATTTTTACAATTGTTAAATCACTAAAACTTAAATAACACAAATGGAAGTATGGTTCATTGAGTAAGAATAAAAATCAATACATGTCAAACATATAATGTACATATTACAACAAAACTAATTTCAAACGTGTATACATATTTTTAAGATCATATGAGAAATAAAAAGTCAAATCTATACAAACTGCTAGTGTAGCTGCAAAACAGTCTGTAAGGCAAACACAGATGATATGCATAGATTACAATAATGAATCAATATTATGCATGTTTATTTATTTATTTATTATTGGCTATAACAGATCATAACATTTACTCATAAAAACTCTTACTGTTCACAGTAGTTTATTTTCTGGTCGTCAATGGGTTCTTGCAGTGCGTCAAGGGGCCTCATGGAGGCAACAGAAGACCATAGAGCTGAATTTATGTTTGAGTTTGTTTTAAACCAGATGCGTGTCAGTTTTAAAACATTGTTCAACGCTTGAAAAGCATGTCATAGTCACAGTGAAGAATCTGATCACGTTTAACACATTACTATTAATTTATCTAAATATATATCAGCCAGCTAACTGTTGTTGTGATCCTTGTAGCATCTTTACAGCACCTATTTAATTATTTTAATTAATTAGTTAATTAATTATTTTTGTGTGTGTGTGTGTGTGTGTGTGTGTGTGTGTGTGTGTAAAGACTCCTTGAATGGAACCTTACTACAATTGGTCATTCTGGCAAGTACACTCATGAGAATGGCACACCACAGAACATAGTATATAAAAACACTTTAAAGTCCTCTTAAGCTTTAAATTCGTCTATAGCTAATCTGTCTGGGAGGGTATATACACACTGAACTGTACTGAAGATAAGTTCCATTAGTTCACCAGTTCAAAACATAATATCAGAACAGCTACAAAAGCTAGACAGCTAGAAAGATGTTTGATGCAGATCGTAATTATTAGAAATGCCCTATGTTCAAGACATGGTTACGGGTGGCATTGTATTGGTGTGGTGATGGCATCTACCAGTACCAGCAAAACGTTGGCCTTTTGCTCTGGACTGATCACAAACACTAGGACAGGCCATCAGTGTAAGCAATGAGCTGTAATGTTCACATGTCACATAGACATTTGTAGCTCAAAACTACAGCTGGTCTTACTTAAAACCGCATCACTGTATCACGCCAGACTTTAGGAATATAAAACAAAGGGCTCTCGTGACCACTGCCAAATCAATTCCTGTGTTTCATTCAACACAATAAAACATTTGAATTTCATGCATTAAGTCTTATAAATCAAGAAGAGGTTTTGAAAGCTTGTTTTTGGTCCGGAGGCATTAGCGTGTTTCTTAAGTACCTGGCTGCAGGCTGTGGTCTCCTCACACCAAACAAGACATTTTATCTGTTCATTATATCAAAACGTATAAATGTCAAATGCAAACACCTTCGCTGGTTCAAGTTTTACATCACAAACCCCTGAGGTTCTTTAAAATGAAGTACTAGATTTGGACAATAGTTGCTGTTTTGGTGTAGAAACATCTTGGGAGACTTACATTATATGTTTTGATAGCAAATTATGGCTGGTGTAGGCTTGATATGACAGCAGTTTTATGGTTTTGACCTCTGTGGTGAACAGCAGATTGACAGGGGTAACTGATCTTTGCCTAAAACTGGTAAAGCAGACTTGCTCTAAAGACAAGCATGTTTTTGCACACATCTGGACTTTTACCAACCCCTGGAGAGCAACAAGGAACATTAAAATAAAACCCACACTAATTAATCCCATTTAGTTGAGTACTAATGAACAGCTGGTGGGATTTCTGTTGAGGCGGTGAGGTAGTTAAGCTGTGGATGGGTCCAGGTGTTTGTTGATGAAGTGTGTGTGTGTGTGTGCGTGCGTGTGTTGTAGTGGAATGATTACAGGTTCAGTCCTGTATGAGTTAATGCAGGGTCATGTGTTTGGCCTTTAGTCAGAAACCGATGCGCAGAGGTTGTTATCAGCTTCTATTTTTGTTATTGACAGCCATCTATTTTCAGCAATAACGTTTGAGCTTGAGTTGATTTTGAATTCACTGAATTCATTCCAGATTTGCTACAGTAGACTTCTGTTTATTCAGTCACTACTGGAATACAACATAATATAATTACTATTTCTGCTATGTACAGTATGGACAACATGGAGTATGTCAATTCTATTAATTACAGGATATCACACTACATTTATAGAAATGTACAATATATAACCAAGCACACTGCCCAGGGTACTGAATCCCAAAATGCAATTCACTTAGCTTGATTTTCCGCTTTATAGTTGTATTTTTTTATTGTAGTATTCTAATATCTGTAATATTTTAATAGTGTTTTTATTTTGTTTTAATATCTTTTTAAATTTGATTGTAGAATTTCACACACACACACGTTATATATTATTTTATATATGTTTTAGAATATTTTTTCTTTTATTGTGGTATTCCAGTTTCATTATTTTTTATTATAATCTTTGTATTCTAGATTTAATATCTTTTTATTTGTTCCTAGTATTTTAGTTTTAATTTATATTTAAACTAAATTCTACATTTTGATTTGATTTGTAGTTTCTATTTTTATTCTAGCATTCTATTATTAATATTTTAAAAATATATTAATATTTTGTTATAATATCCTAGTTTTGCAATTTTTTATTTTTATCTTAGTACTCTAGTGTTGATCTCTTTAATTTATGTTGGTATTCTAGTTTTTCTTTTAAACTGTATTTTATTGTAGTCTTTTTTATTTTATGCTATTATTCTAGTTTTATTTTTTTTCTATTTAATTAGACTTCCAAAAGTTAACAGTTTTGCACATAATTGTAAAGGAATGTAAAGTAAATCTTTTTATATTTGATATAACTACTACACACCACTTGTTGAATTAAACGTCTAATGAGGTCAGGTGAAAACAGTGTTCACTGTATACATGCAGTGTGACTATTGTTTTTTGAAGATTGCCATTTAATTAATTTGTGATCTTCTGCTAAACTGTTCCACATACCAAAAACACTGATTGACTGATATTTATATTGGCTAATATTAATCTCTGTTACGAATTGGCTGTGCAGTCAGCCCCACAACCTCTAAACTATTAGTAATTATTTTTGTAGAAAGTTCTATTCATGTACAACAAGCAAGACATATACTCAATTAATCACACACACACACACACACTTAAACATTTAAGTGGAGTTTATCAGCACTAGAGCAGGACTCTTCAGGAAGACTGACAGCTTTCTGACAGGAAGCTGACGGTGATAGGAATAAATGGGAGAGGTGCTCTCACGCCCCAGGCTTGTCACCTTGCCTGCGGCCTGTGATAATAAGACAGCACTGCCCGGTCAGGGTATCAGATTATGGAGCATTTCCCCTGGAAGGGAGCTATGGAGAGAGAACGTGGCCTGTGCAATTAGGAGCATCAGTGCTGCAGGTCTTTTCACAAGTCTTATCTGAGAGTTTGGTAAAGTTTAAGTGCTGGAGCACAGAATTACACAGAAAGCCTTATATAGGGACCAGATTATCAAAGGAGTCTTAACACCACTCAGAATACCTTATGCCACTCAGGCCTTTTCATAGACAAAAAACACTATTAGGGCTGCACGATTAATCGAATGTGATTGTCATGCGCATTTTGTTAAAAAAGCCGGTTCTGTAATCAGCAGTAGTGTTGGGTCATTCTTGAACGATTCGTTCATTTTGAACGAATCTTTAATGTGACTCGGGAAGATCGAGTCGTCTCGGGGAGTGATTCGTTCAGTTGCGCATGCGCAACATCCTATTGGTTCTGAACTGGAATTAGTCAAGTAGTTCACCTGTTTCGAGTCTTCGAGTTTTTCCGAGTCATTCGTTCATCACGTGACAGCCCCATAAGTTTAACCAATGCAGTCTGAGCCGGAAAGAGAATTGATTAGTTCTGTTGGGGACTGCCCCACTGAATGCTGGCTAATAATTATTGACCGCTGCAGAACTCTTGTCAGGGAGTCGAGTCATTATATTGAGCTTGACCGTTTATTGCACAAGATTTGACCATATACACATGTTAGTGTATTTGAGGTAGTTTCTGAAATAAATAAAACAACAGATATAAATATTCATTGTTCAAATATAACCAATGACTCAACATCACAAATTCTATAATAAACAACTTTGTAAAGTGCACTGATATATAGAATATAAACTGAGAAATATATCAGCAATATCTCTGTGAGAATAACAATCTGCATAGTAAGATTACAAACAATGGAATATAAGTTATATATATAAATGCGACTGTATCATTAATACAGATGGTAGTAATAATGGTCGTTGAAAGGTATTATGACCATAAAAATGTTACCCTTAAATGTAATACAATTGTAAACGTGAACAATGCACACTGCGATGCTAACGGGCTAAGCCG